AGACATTACTTTGCCAACAAAGGTCCGTCTAGTCAAGGCTATGGTTTTTCCAGTGGTCATGTATGGATGTGAGAGTTGGACTGTAAAGAGAGCTGAACACTGAAGAATTGATGCTTTTGAACTGTGGTGTTGGAGAAGACTCTTGAGAGTTCCTTGGACTGCAAGGAGATCATACCAGTCAGTCCTAAAGGAAATCAGTCCTGAATATTCATTGGAAGGACTGATGCTGAAGCTGAAATTCCCATACTTTGGTCACCTGGTGTGAAGAACTGACTCTTTGGAAAAGACCCTGATGTTGGGAAAGATTGAAGGCAAGAGGGGGAGGTGACAATGGAGGATGAGATGGTTGGATGGCATCACTGACTTGAGGGACGTGAGTTTGAGCAAGCTCTGGGAGTTGGTGATAGACAGGGACGCATGGCATGGTGCAGTCCATGGGGTTGCAAAGAGTCAGACATGACTGAGTGGCTGAAGTGAACTGAACTGAACTGAACTGACTGAACTGATGCTTGGAAAGATTGAAGGCAGGAGGTGAAGGGGACAATAGAAGGTTAGAAAGTTGGATGGCATCACTGACTTGATGGACATCATTTTGAGCAAGCTCTGGGAGTTGGTGATGGACAGGGAAGCCTGATGTGCTGCAGTGCATGGGGTCACAAAGAGTCAGACATGACTGAGCAACTGAACTGAACTGAGAATGAAGAAAGAACATAAACATAAATATTTTTCATGGCATTTTATATCTTTAGAGAAGGAAATGGCAATCCATTACAGTATTGTTGCCTGGAGAATCCCATGGACAGAGGAGCCTGGCAGGCTACAGTCCATGGGGTTGCAAGAGTCGGACATGACTTAGCAACTAAAGAGAGAGAGATTTTATATCTTAGCACCCCAAAGATTATTGATGAAATTGCATGTCACAGTTGGTTTTAATTGCCAATATAAATAATCATTTCACAGTGGTAGAAAGTAAGAATTTGTCTAACTATAATGAAAATCAATTGCACCTTACAGTGATATTAACATTTTACCATTAAATTCAACATTTATCAGTTTTTTTGAACATGTACTTTCCTGATTACCAGTGGCAAAATCTATCAAGGATGTGAAAATAGAGTTATGATGCTATTTAAATGTAACAGAGTAGGCAAGGCATAATTTGGTTTGGTTTAATAAAACTTTTCATTTATTTGTTTCTATTTTAGTTTTTCTATTTAGTTTTTCTTTTTCCTTTGTTTTTTTCCATCTGATGTTATCATTGTAAATATTCTAAGAGAATATTTACAAGAATTTCCTAAATATCGAAGGACAAAAGACTTTTTTTCACTTTCTTTTTCAATAATCCTCAATAACTGATTACTAAAATGCATATTTTCTGAACTATTTTCCTGAAATGTGGTTGTAATATGTTTGCTCTTCCAACTCTGAATACTAATTCAACATTAGGTTATTCTTAGGATTTAACTGGAAAATAATTTATGGTTTTCCCCCTGAACTTTGTATTTAAGTTTGCTATAAGTGTGGAATAATACCACTTTCTGATATGGAGTTTCATTCTGCATTTGTATTCTCCCTATAACAAGCAGCAGGTTTCAACTATAGTGAATGAGAACTTGTTCATTATAGCAGAGATGGAAAACTAGAATACAGATACAAATGGTAGACCTCAAGGTTCATTTGTGGCTTCCCTCTGGGATATAAAGGAGAGTTTTACAATGGCATGCAAAGAGTTTCAACTTCCTCCTTGGTGAGGAAAAAATCAGCTAAATTGGAGAGATGTGTATGATCAGAATTTACTCAAAATTGAAACAGTGTGGTTGGGTTGCATATGATAGTTAATTTTTGAAGCCTGCAACACACACACACACACACACACACACACACAGTTGGAAGGGGGACTAACTCCAAACAGAACAGTTTCCTATCTTGTTTTTAATCTTCTATATTAAACTCCAAGTACTGTGAAGGAACAAAACTGGCCTACTTAAATGTAAAACACAGAGTTCTTTAGAAGCAGAAAATGTAATAATGGCAAGTTTTCTAAAATCAAATCTAGGGTTCTGATGCAGAAGGAAAACCCTGGCCTTTGACCATGGTTACTAGCAGAAGCCATACTTGAATTACAAATCAAAAACACTTGAAAAATATTTGAGTGTTTTATATTATTCTATTTTATATTTTATATAAATATGCTGCATCTTTTTTCAAACGATGAAATAAAAACTAGCACAATTACATATATGTTTTATTTCTTATGTAAAGTATCTAGTTACCATTTATCAATTTATAATTAATCATAGGTCCCATGGAACATGAGATTGAGGGAAATACAGGGGACAATTCTAAGATTTCCTGTGATCTATTTGGAGTCTTAGATGCTATTCTACAAAGTTAAATGGATTCAACTGCTGTGGTGTTTGCTTATTAAGGCTTTGTTTTACAGTCCTAGAGAGTGAACTGTCTTAAAGAAAGGCAGATCAACAGTCAAGGGACCAGATGTTTGGAAGTCTCTAGAGAAAGATATAATCAGTGAACTGTTGTCAGCACAATTAAGATATTATCGACTACCTAAATGAATTTCATAAGCACCATAAAAAGATCAATCAAAAAAAAGGTTTATACTTTATAGTGCTGAGGATGCTGCCCATCTTCAGCACTATAGAAATCTTGTCAATTAGACTATTATTAAATAGTTCTTTAGAAAGAAATGTTAGAATCAAAGCAGTAAAATAGATTTCTGGGCTCCATCCAAAAGCAGCTTGGACAAGTCTAATAAACTCTCTAGGGAGATAACTGTTTTCTTCTCAGATGTGAGACAAAGGGCAAAACCAGTAAAC